TATATATATATATATATATATATAATTAATTGTTAAAAGCATTCTATGAATTTATTCTTGTTCGCAAATGTAATTGCGAATTTTTTGGCATTGTGAATGCAAAATGCGCCTTTTGCGTGTTTAACAAGATTAGCGTGTAGTTTGTACATATACGTGTATGCACCTTTGTTAAAACGCATGTACACTCATGCATACCTGTGAGAAAATAAATCTACCTTTGTACTGTGAATCACTGTGTTATTTCAGTCATTTGTCTATGAAATTTTTAAAATATTATTTTAAAATATATAATATAGCATTAGAAAATATACAATTCAAGAACATATATCTATTTATATTTGTATTATGTTAAAAACTTGATAAGAATTCAATATTCTATTTTAAATTTTTATTAAACGGATGACTATTAAACAAATTTTTATATCTTAATTAATTTTTAAAAATATAGAATAGAAATATACATATATATAAACATTGTATTTATGTGCGCGCGCGCGCGTGTGGTGTGTGTGTGTGTGTGTGTGTGTGTGTGTGTGTTTGTGTGTTATATATGCATATGTATATTTCACAATGAACAATTCTCACATTTGCGAATGTTTTTGATTATTTTTAAAAATATCGCTTGTAAAATGGCGGGAAAATATAAACTTGTTTTTTCTATTTTCTGATAAATAACACGATTTACAAAAATTAAATTTGCGAATATATATAATAAACATTATATTTATATTATAAACATATTTATAACACTGTATACGTTTTTTTTCTTTAATAATACATTTCTTAATACCAATAGTTGCAGTACTCTCTACACTCTACTGATTACACCAAATTCTTTCCTTGAAATAAATATGGCGGGCGAGGTTGTACTTGCAGATCAATTGAGGTTAGTATTTCTTGCTGCAATAGTAATTATCGGTCATAGTACCTTATCAAATGTCTTATCAAGATGTACAAAGTATAACGTGACGATGAGCGAACGCGTGTTCGCGAGATGTGACTTTAATATGCCAGGATTATGAGAACATTTGAGGACAAAAACGAAAATGGCGAAAATACAATGGTCTTTGACGAAGACGCCAAGTATTCTTCGGTAAATTCATAAATATTTATATTTGTTGAATTTTATATTTACCAGATATCTATTAATTTTTATTTTTTATCACAAGTTTATTTCATTCTCTTTATGTTAGTTACATTAAAAATTATTGAATTTCAATTCCCCCTCCCCATTTATTGATCCTTTATACCATAAATTTATATGAATTTAATAAATATGACGATCAAATTCGACTTGTTTTAAGGAATAATTTAAAACAGAAATGGTGGCGACTTCAAATTTCTATAAAATCTTTATTCTACAATGACTTTTTGAGTTGGAGTTACATTTGTGATATACTTATGGAACCCATGTTCTGGTTTGTCGAGAACTTCACTTCTTTTTTGGGTCCGGTAAGATTTTTTTATATTACTTGTCCTTGTATTGAATTACAAAATCTCATATATTATTTAAGATTGTTTTTTATGCTTAATAATAAATTTTATGTAATTAATTCACTTGAGTTAAAAAAAATTTATACTAGAATTTTGATATTTTAAAAACTAATCTTTATGATGATAAACTCAAATTTTAAAAGATCCGATTTACATTAACTGAAACATATTTTTGAAGTTTGTCTCAATTACATTATGTTGCGTTAATATTAAAGTATTTTTTTTATAATTGGTGAATATATTTTATTTATATTCTACAATAAATGAGTAATACTTGGACATATGACTATATTTATTACATGAAGCATTACATGATGTTTATTAGAGCATATGTATAATGGAGCGAATCGCCTGTGTTTTACATAAGAGAACTAGCAAGAGAACTAGCAAGCTGGCAAGTAAGACAAAGAAGGAGATATTTGATAATGATTTCTTTTTCTTTCTTTCTCTTTCAATTTGTAATTGATTCATCGGGTCCCACTCCTGTTTCGGTGATAGCAGCGAAATGTGATACGACGATGTCATAAACTCTTACAAAATGCCAGCCTTTTGTTTAATTACTATGTGTAAAGCGACAGACGATAATAAATTATATCGGGGACATATCATTTCACAGATAAATTGACAAAAAGTATAAATAAATATTTACTTTGTAAATGTTAATAACAAAACCTAATTCCTATTCGTTATGAACGCTCCTGACATTGACAGAGAAAACATCACAATCAAATATTCCCCATTTTGCTTGCATCATTATTCAGCATAGTTCTCTCCACTAGTATATGCTGTAAGACATGAAGTTTCATAAAATGTTCCATGATATTTTGTTCTACTTATACGTATAATGCAAACTTCAAGACATCCACAATATATTTACTAAGTGCTGCAGTCCATAGGTGTTTGTAGCAATGGTGAGCCTGCTGACCATCAGTATTGTATACATTGCCTACTATGTAGGTCTACCCTGGTGGTGGGAACGGAGTCCATTAATGACGATAATCTTATTGCTAGTTGGAAACTGGCTACTGGTTAATGTCTGCTTTCATTATTATATGGGTGTGACTGTGCCAGCAGGAAATCCACCTCAGGGAGGCCTTATACCAGAGGCTGTAAGCATCTGTAAGAAATGCATCAAACCAAAGCCACCCAGAACACATCATTGTTCTGTTTGCAACAAGTGTATCCTCAAAATGGATCATCATTGTCGTATCCTTATATATTTTATTAATTAATTTTATACATATAGCCAATTTTCATTAATTAATTATATTCACCGTAGATTAATCATGCAAATATTGTCAATGAAAATTTATATATAATCGTTTTTTGCAACATGTAATAAGTCTTCCTTAATCAATACACAGCATGGTTAAACAATTGTGTTGGTCACTATAATCATCGGCATTTCTTCCTATATATGGTTTATACCGTAATTGGCGTTATCTTCATTATGATATTCGGCGTGCAACTCGCCTATGAGGAGTTCTTCCCTGATCAGGAACCGGAATTAGATGGTCATCCAGTACGCCTTAATAATTCGGAAATAATTCCAATGGTACGTTAGTTAATTGCTCATAAATACATTTTATTAACTATCACTTTAATCAAAATCTTAAATGCATGCTTGATTGATAGACGGAATCATTAGATCATCTAAGCAAGGAAGAGCTAGCAGAAATAGCAAGACAGGCAGTAGAAACTGAGATCAAAGAATGGCGAAAAAGATTGATAATTTTTGTGGGTCTAATCTGTATAGCCACATGTGCAGCATTGGGTGCTCTAGCCTGGTGGCATGCTCGTCTCATTACCCGAGGAGAGACGAGCATCGAGGCGCACATCAACAGTGCGGAATCTAAAAAGTATCGTGCTCAGAATAAGTTCTATCAAAATCCTTATGACTTCGGGCCGAGGGAGAACTGGAGATTGTTCTTAGGAACAAAAAACAGGTAGAACTTTTATAAATACATACTTAAAATTTTAAGTAGATCGTATCGATTAAAATACAACCAATAATATAAATCATCAACGAAAGACTAACTAAAACGAATGGGATGCAATGCATATTTATAAAATATATCGCTTTTATAGATTTTGCTAGAAAAATAAATTTAACTAAAAATATTAAACTTTGAACAGGTTCTTACTGAACTTCACATGTTATTTAATTTTATAAGTTTATATGGTAATTACAGAGTTGGATAGTGCTAAGTTAAAAAGATAAAAGTTAAGTTAAAAAGTTAAAAAGTTAATTAATTTTAACTTAACTTAGTTACATTTTAGACTTTTAATTTTTTAACTTTAGTTACATTTTATCCATAACTATTAATTTTTTATTTAATTCTTTGAAGTTAAGTCTCAGAGACATAATATGCGGCAATAATAATAACTTAAAATGAGGTGAAAATTACAATAGTGAGCACTAAAATATTTATAATTTCATTGGTCAATACTTAATAAATTTGCTCATTTTAAATTACACAATTGACTCCCAGATTTAAATCTGTCAGAAACCGTGTATTTTGATCTAATTTTTGATAAATTGAAATCTATTATTCCTTATTACTATCGCTACTTCCTCGTATTATCTGAAGCTTTAGTCATATCACAGTCCATTTATAGTCGAATTTTATATAGTAAATATAGTATATATAAACAAAACATGTAAATAAAATATAGAGTATTTTCTAAATGAAGTATATATTTGTTATTTCCGTTATTTATAAAATTAAAACTCTGGAATTATGAATTAAAAAAATAAAAAAACAAATTTAATTTTTAACTTTTCAATTACTTTTTTTATTAACTTAACTCTTAATTCAATTAATTTCATTATAAATTAACTTGTATCTTAACGAAGTTAAATTTTTAAGGTTATTAACTTTAACTTAACTTAGTTAACTTAGTTAAAAAAAAAGTTAACTACTCAACCCTGGATAATTATAATATAATTCGAGATCCTTATGTTTTTTCAGTTTTAATGATTACGATTTTGATTTAAAGGAAATTGGAAATTAAACTTATTATAATAGCTACTTAAAAAATTTTGTTTAGCATAGAAATTATTGATAGAACAATCGTTCAATATTATTTTTATATTTGTATAGTCTCATTGTCCAAAAATTTGTCTAATATTATTTTCATAATGTATCTTAATATTAATTGTTACAGAAGTTGGTGGCATATCTTATTCCCATCAATCCATGGCCCTTATGGTAATGGCCTTACATGGCGCACTATTCATGATAACAAAATCTCTTGATTTTTAATAGTTTAGGAGATCAACGTCATTGCTGCATTCTAAATCCACATCTTGTGATTTCTCTGTTCTTATTTTCCAATATTCTAGTCAGAATTGCAGACTGGTCAACTATATTCATAATTTCTTTCACTAAAAGCAATAATTAAAGCAAGTAGACTTTTCTGAATTGCGAAATTATTTTTACATGGTAAAAGTATTACAAAATAATAAATAGAAACATTTGCGAATGTTATAATATTTTATCTTTAATAATTATCTTGAATTGTTTGAAAACTAATTGAGAACTATTTATGTAAGACTTAATTTAACCAAATACAATTTAATAAAATATGTTTTTTGTACCTTTCGTAAAAGTCGAATAAATTGTGATTATTGTCCTTGCGGCCAGACTATACCTTCGATCCACGGAAGATAATGAGACACTCTAGTATAAACACCGGGAATATCAATCATTGCGCAGGCTTTACCAAAACTAGTGATACCAATCAGTTGGAAGAGGCATTCACTAGGATGAACTATTTGGAGAGGACCTCCGGAATCTCCTTGGCAAGTGTCCTTTGTCCAGTTGCCGCTAGGATCGCCAGCACAAATCATACTTGGTGTGATACCACGCGGAACTTCTAGAGAACTGTTATGCCGTACTGTACACGACAGATTATCTATCACATCCAGCTGAGCCTTTTGTAATCGATCGCTCACCTCTCCGCCTGAAGTACATAATTTAATATGAATCAATACTCCTACCTTATAAAAATTTTTGATTTTTTTTATGAACTTTGCATTTATTAGGATGATCTGCTGTAAGTTCTTAATAAATATAAAGCATTTGAACATTTAGATTTTCAAAAACATTTAACTTTATGATTTTTTTCTTATGATTTTAGGATTTCATAGCAAATTTTCACGTGAGAAACTTACTATATTTGGTAACACCCCAACCGCTCACCAAAGCCTGTCTAGGCATGGTTTTAAATAATTGATAAAGACACGCGGGTCGTATAGACATACTAAACGTAACAACAGTCATGAGCTGTACTAGAGCTATATCCGCATACATCGCAGGTGGTCTGTAATCCGGATGAGTTATTATATCTTTAATGACACTCGTGATGCCTTTCTGCTCTGATAAACTGTGGAAGCCAATCCTTGCATCAGTTACACCGCCACTGCAATAAAATACAGTGTATAGGACTAGTTTTATTAGTCAAATCCTTAAACAATTGAAAGATATCAGTCACTTATGTAAGTTACATTTTAGATTGCAATTTCTAAAACATTTAAATTAGAAAATCAAGTAGACTTTTAAAATTTTTTCTCAAGATGTGTCGAAAAAAACACTATAGTATTAAATAGTCAAAGCAAATGAGAGTAGAGTATTAGCTTAAACTGTAATATTAACCTTAAAAAATATTTTCATATTTTAGGATTGTATAGGATTGTATTATTGTATTCAGTAAAATAACTAGCAGAAAAATAAAAGATTATTTTTTCGTTAGAATTTTTGAGTTGTTTAAAGTGAGAGAAATACTATATATAAGATTTACTCTGTCCCATGAGTGCAATGAGCAGCAGAAATCACCCAGGCATGTGAAATCAGCGTGCCGCCGCACATCAAAATAAATTCGTCAAAATTGCGTTTGCCTAGTGCAACCATGTGAGGAAATTCGTCGACACGTGCCTCGGTACCACCAATCACTAAGTGATTTACTTTCTCACAAGTATTAGTCAATTTACGTATGCCTGATGATGAACCAGCCAAAGACGTTATCAAGGTTGTACCCGCAATTTCTCTCACATATTCTTCACACTCTGAAATTTATTTATTTTATATATATTATAAAATAATAGTGTATATTGAATATATAAAGATATGTTGAATGTATATAGAATAAGAAAATTCACATTAAAACTTTATTCTTTACATTACAAACGTGTAATTTCTTATTTACTTTTTCGAATCTGTAAATTTTTTAGTTCTTCATGTTCTTAAAATATTCATGTTCTACTTACTAAGTTCTGATATCATTTTTTCTGGACTGATCTTAGAAGGTAACAATTCCTTCCAGGATGGTACGTGTGAAATTGGAGGATGAATTTTAGGAGGAGTAGGAAATGTAAAATCATTATTTAGTGCTGGTGTATTAAATACTGGTACAGGGCTTGGTGAACTAGGAGATTCTATCTCAACCCTTGGATCAATTATTTCTCTAGTAGAATTACGTAGATTTGTCAGGAAAGGATTCGCATTACTATTAGGAAAGGGATTATAGTTATTATTGGGAAAGGCTATATTGGATGCCTGTGTTGCAACAGCATTTGACAAGAATGGATTTCCAATTCTGTTACCATTCGATGAATACAGGAAAGGATTGTTTTGAATATTGGGAAGATTTAAGTTTGACGATTGAAGAAAAGGATTTGTCGCAATGCCGAAACTCAATTGAACTTTTTTCTTCAAAGTGTCATCTAAAAAATATATCTAAATGTGCATATAAATTAAATCAAAGTTATAGAGAAATATATATATATAATAAATATCTGTATACACATGCGTTTGTGTGCACGCGCGCGCGCATGTGTGTGGTGTGTTATATATAGAGTGTCCGATAAGTTTTAATGTAGCTTGTGTGTATATAGAACGAACTAAACGTGTTGAAAAATTTTGTATCATTTTATAATTTTCGTAATTAACAAGATATTAGTTATTAAAAATCGCTAAATAATGATTTTCAATAATTTTTTACTCAAATACTAATTTTACAGAAAAATAGCAAGAGTAAAAAATTGTGTATTTTCTTCCCATAAAGTTCTGAGAATTTTTTCAGAATTTTTTAATAGCGTATTTTCTCATGTTGATAAAAATAGTTGTCAATATATAAAAAAATGCAATACTAAAATGTTGATAAAAAATTCTAAAAAAATTTTTAGAGCTCTATGAAAAGAAAATTTTGTCTCGTGCTATTTTTCTGTGAAGTTGATAGTATTTGAGTAAAAAATAATTGACGACCAATATTTAACAATTATCCGACAACATTATTAAATTTCCGAATTCTTGTTACAAGTTCCCACATCAGAAGCACTAGAAAAAAATCAAGCATAACGCTTCCATTGAAATTGCGGCTAATTTGAGAGTCCACTAATTAATAATTTAATAATTATTAATAAATAATAATAAATATATTAATAATAATTAATAATTAGTTAATAATTTCTAGCGATGAATAACACTTGAAACTATAATCGTAAGTTTTTTTTACCGGTGGACCAAACGAAAACCACATCAAGGATTACGGAGATCACAACCAAACCGAAATGAAAATTCATCACTAAAGAAAAGTGCGTGAGAGACACATGAAGATTGAGTATTCGACGTCACATCATTTAATGAAGGAAATAAGCTGCTGTGATGATTAACGATGGTGGAATCTGCGTCTCTTTCTCTCTCATATTACATCTCTCTCCTAATTTTACAAAGAATGAAATAAGATGATTGGTAAAAAAAAATATAAAAAATGATAAGAGAGCGTATAAAAGATGAAAGTGGGGAGTAATCTTAACAGTCTAGGGTTATCGACTTTGCAGTTTTTTTCAATCTAAGTTTATTTGGATTTGATCAAACAAGTACCAATCGTTAATTATATAGTACAAATTGTAAGAGTTAAATCATAACATCTCAACAGAATTTTGTATCTGTTAAATTGTGATAATAATATGCAATTTAGAATGTGTGTGTGTTCAATATAATAGTAACTTCGTAAGTGTAAAGTATATAATTAACAACGCAATAGGATAAGTATGCATTATTCGTCTTTGATCAATGTTTGATTGGGAGACTCTCTGAGTCTGACGCCAAAGCGGATAAATCAGTCGGTGTATTCTACAAAAATTGACGAGATAAGATGTCGGTAAAACAGGATAAAGACAAGCCAATCAGTACGGAAGTATAAGAAATGTGACGCAAAAAATCTTACGTACTAAAACATAAACAGTATAAGTAAAATCAACATTTTAGATTTATTGTTACTTAATCGTTTTATGTTTTCTACTATGATTGACTGATTACTGTTTACTGTTCTGCTTTATATTTTTTTATACGTCTTAAATCTATAATATTATAGAATAAAAAGAAAAACGTACGTATATATATATTGCCGCGAAGAAGTAGAAGGAATAAAATATAGAGAAATTATTTAATAATAAGTAAATTGAAGACAATAACTAACATTTATACTAAATTAAACTATTTAATAATAAATTATTATACAGGGTGTCATTAAATTACGGCATCACCTATCCTGAACAGGTAGAGCGAACTAAACTGAATCGAAAAGTCCTCTACCATTTTGCGATTTTCGCAATAGTTAACGAGATATTAATTACTAAAAATTAGTAAATTAGTAAATTAATTACTATAAATTTCAATTTAAATTTTCCGCTATATTATGGCTCCGCCAGAGATTGTTGTTGGCGTCCGAGAAAGCTTGAACCTTTGCTTTTAGTAAACAGTCATATTTTCAAAATAACCGCGATGTTGAAACCAAGTGCGGAGTATAATCGAAGAGCCGCGATCATCGAAGGCCTCCGCGCTGGGCGCTCAGCAACGGAAATAATTCTGTTCTTTGGATATCCGAGATCAACCGTTTATGATGTGACAAAATATACGGTCAAAATTTAGAACAGTCTAACGAAGATTCCAATATCCCAGCGAAGAAGAGTCAGAAAGAACGCACCGCGAGGATTCCCGCAGTCGTTGAAAGAATTCAAGCGCTGATTTCGAATGACCCAGAGTTGCGTTCTGATAGATGTAGTGAAGTCATGGATGGAAATTGTGGCGTCCTGAAAGCCATATGTTTTTCAGCAGGACGATGCACCGGCTCACTTGATTCAAAATTGGTTCTCAGACAATGTCGATATGTTTCTAAGGAATTCTGGCCTCTCAACAGCCCAGATTTAAATCCCTTGAACTACTACGTATGGAGCGTAGTTGAAAGAATCACAAACAAGTCATCTCAATGCGATGTCATTAAGGACCGCTATTAAAGCAGCATTCGTCGGCATGGACAGCGCTATATTACAGCGTGCGTGCGAACGCTTCAGACCGAGAATAGAGGCCTTCATTTAAGCTGGGGAATATATCGAATAACTGTGCTCTCCCAAGTGCCATATAAAAGTATTTTTTGTAATATGTAATTTTTTATTAAAAACATTTTATTTAAAGAAATTATTCTATTTGGGATTTTGGTGACGTACCCTGTATGTTTCAATTTATATTATCATAATGTACAATGTATTTATATATAAATGTTTACAACAAGTAGTTGCCCATGCCTTAAATATATTTGTCTATGGCGAACATTGTAAATATGCACACATATTTTAGTTTTCCATTCATTACGAAAATGATATAGTCAAAGATGTAGTTAGAGATGGGAATCTAACAGCCTAAAAAAAAGTATGCAATCAGACATAAATATGATTGCGAAATTATTTGTGCAAAATTTGAGCCGATATGTTTAAAAGTAACAATAAATAAGCAGCGAATCCTTTTATTAAACTTCATAAAAAATAAAATTATATATGACTTAACTATTGAGTTAAATAAGACATATTAAGCTGGAAATAATAATTGATAATATAATACAATGCAAAATGAAATCGTGCAATAACAGCAAAAATAAATGGAATGAATTATTAATCTATAACGCATTATACATTACACATAATTGCATATACTATATAATAAATTAAATTTTACTTATAAAAAAATGTTTATTTTCTCAAAAATAGTGTATTTTCGAGGTTTTTGGTATCGCTGATTCCAATTCTGAACATAGATTTATAAAATTTTGAGCTCTAAGCACAATATTGACAACATAAATGAATATAAACGTATAATAAACTCAGAATTTTTCTTTAGCAGTACCCAGAGCTGACGACGTGGACGTAGAAAGTTTGTAGTTCCTTTTTGATTTTCTTTTTATTTGGATTTTTTTTTCACTCTTTTCTTGTTTTATTATTTTTTATTTTTACATATTTTTAAATTTTTTTTTAATTGCAATTTTTTGTATATTTTTTAATATATATTTTTTATATGGTTTATAATTTTTATTTTTTTATTTCGATTTTTTTCAGTAATTAGACAAAATTTCTTTTGAATGCAATTAATTTTCAAAGCAATTTTCATTACTAAAGGTAATGGTACAATATTTTAACTCAAACGAGCCACAAAAGTGATTTTCTCAGCAATCTAAAGATTAAACGGGAAAAAAATTTACGATTGAAAAATATAACTTTCATTAACATTATCTCATCTTTCAAAATCATTAGTCTATCAGCTTCGCGGAAATCAGTTTCTACGCCGCCATATATATTAGAATAATAATGATTACATAGCATCATACGTACGTTTTCCAGCGAAAAGAATTACCTAATCATTAAGATTCATTTCAATGTCAATAGAATTTCTTTTATAACAATTCAGTAATAAACATAAATAAAAAATAAGCAATAAATAACTACAGCTAAAAATAAAAAAAATTTATATGTTATAACATTTTCGAACATTTTATAACATTTTAGATGAAGCCCTAATGTTAGATAAAGACCTAAAAATAATGAAAAAAATCAATAATGATATCTCAAATTAATTTGCGTAATAATTGAAAATGATGTTTACTTTTATTATGCTTATAATATTTTTATTTTATATATATTATTTTATATATTTATGTTTTATTTTGAGATTACGTACAAGTTTATTTCCAATTATCGGTTCTGCCGAATCTCTCGCGAGTTGCATGTTCATTTGCTCGGAAAGCATTTGCTTTGAAAACTGTATGAGCCTTGAAAATGTTTATTGATATACCATTTAGATCTAAATGTATAAAAAAAAAATAGTTAAACAGATCTAATTATTTTTTTCTCATTCAGTTCCAGTAGAAAACTATCTTAACATTCTTGTTGGTTTTGTAACATTGTAATGATATTTAAACGTTTTTTTAACAATAAATATAATCTATCAAATATATCAGTATCCGATAAAGTTTCCATGTGACTTGCGTTTTGTCCAGTTAGCTAAATACATAAAAGATTCGGCTGATGAGCAACAGTAATAAACGTGAACACATCGCTATTCTAAAACAAATATATTTGACAAAAATAATAGAACAGTAAAACAAAAAATCATCGAAATTTATTTTTAATAATAAATTATTGTTTGGCATAATCTCTTAGACTTTCGAATGTTTATTTTTACTTAGTCATAAGTTTGCAAGAATTCCCTCTTATCTTTTTCCGACCAGATAAAATCAAAGTTAGTTTTGTCTTCCGGCCATCATCCGTGTGTAAATTCGAGAAAAATTTTGTTCGCTATTCCAATATTTAATCCCTGATGGCAAAATAATGATGTTAAAAGTAATATCAAACATGTCAGTACCATTTCCTTTTACAATATTATACTGTTAATAAAAATTTCTATCGCGCTGTTTTTTCTGTGGCACGAACATCGAAGAATATTTCTTCTTCTGAACACCTAGACATCCAATGAATATAACATGCGATGCAGAATACTCGCAATCACTTCTGGTAATCATCGTCACATTCTCGCCTGAATTGTAATTGCAAGTTGTCATAATTTTTCCAAGCTCTATCTTTTCCATTACTGGCAAACATTTCATTTAGAATTTTTTGCTGATAAAATAATTATATTATTAATTAGACAAGATGAATACATACATTTGATTAGAAAAAATAATATATGTAAGATATTAATTATATTACTTTAGTAAAATATTTTAAAAATGAATTAAACATTTATTATATACTTAATTAATTTAATTTTCAAGTAATGATCACTATTTTTTTTAATAGATTATGTTTTATGTTTTGTTAAAACGATTATGTAAAACGAAATGTTATTGAGGACATCACATACATTTATATATCGCATTTCTGATTCGATATTATCAAGTAATTTAAATAATCTTTTATCTACCAATAGTACATCAAAAATCGTTTTATAATCACGTTCCCTTTCCAATTCAACGTAAAATCGCCTTCATATTCCCAATGTTCTGTTAAACATTTCGCAGAAACATCAAACTATGTGTCACTGCAATCTATAGAGTTTTGTATCTTTTCTAAAAAGGATAATATTTAGCACTTTACGATTCATGAAAGGTTTCTCATCAAAAGCTTTATAATATCTATTAATATAATATTAATAATACCTACTAATATTAATATAATATTAATGATTTAGTATATTAAAATCGTAATATATTTTATTATATTAAAATATTAATATTAATATTTATTAATTAATCACGTTTTTAAAGAAAATTTAAGTTTTCAAACAGAATTTGTGTTT